CGTGCGCCAGCTTCGGCGCTGCCCCAGGCTCCGAAAGGCGCCCAAGGAGGCTTCAGAATTGTCTCCAGGAGACTGCCCAGAGGCTTCCGCAGAGGCCAGAATGGGCACTCAGGAGGTCTCAGGCGGCCCCCGTAGAGACTACACGACGCTTCTTGCACGCCTCGAATCGAAGACACGGGTATGCAACCACTCTCCCCCTCCTCGTCCTCCCCCTCTTCTCTCATCCTTACGCTCCCCACCCCTCAGCATCCTTTTCTCTCGCATTTCGTAGTGCAGATTTTTTCATGGGCCCTCTTCCTTCGTTTCCATCTTGCCTCCGCTTTCTTCCTTACCAAACCCTATTCCATACCGTGTATAGCGTCCTCCGTTCTCTCCTCTTTCCTGTTTCCTCCTTCTCTTGCCTCCTGCTGTCTACCTCGTACATTCGCCCTCCTGCCCCCCCATGCTCCTCCCCGCCTTGGCGATCCACCCTTCATCTCTCCTTCATCCGCCCTGCCTCTCCCCGTCCCTCTCCTTTGCACGTTGCATCCCCCTGTCCTCCCTCGAACCTCCTCCTCCTCCTCCTCCTCCTCCTCCTCCTCCTCCTCCTCCATCTCTCTTTCACGTCCGCCTCCCTCCTCCACCGTCTCTCTTGCCCACTCCCTCCTGTACTTAGCTTCCGTCGTTTCCCGCCGTCTTCCAGTTCACTCGTCCTGCAACCTCCCTCCTCTACCTTCCATTCATATGCTGGGAGCCCGACCTCGTGGGCCCCAGGCCGCAGCACACACGGGATACCCGGGGTCCTCTAAGTGACGCCTCCCCTCCGGCCCCCCCCCCCAGAGCCTTCCCCCCCCGAGCCCCAAGAGTTCCAAGAGAGTTCCAAGAGAGGGCCCTACGACCTACGACGGTCTTGGGAGGCCTCAGGAAGTCTCCAGCAGCACAATGAGGCCCCAAGAAGCCACCAGAGTGCCCGAACAGGACTTCCAAGCGGGCCAAAGCAGTAGAACATCAAAAGGAATCCCACATCCCAACGTGTTTTCCTTTCTTTTCTGGAGCTTCCATTTGTTGCCAACGCGTGGCTCAAATATGGCCTTGGAGGATTACATGGTCTCGAAGAGAAATGCAGGTTTGCCCAAGGATAGCCGAGGGCTGCCGCGAATACAAAGCCTGAAGGCGACTTGAGACACCAAGGCGCGCGTTCCAAGCCAAGGACCCGATCGCCCGGACACGGCCGTTCTTACGCGCTACACGTTGGGCCCCATGGCAAGTAGAATTTGAGCATGCGCGAAGCGCGCGATGCTTCCCCGTGTTGGATCCCCGCCCCCATGGAAAAATGAGCATAGGGCGACGAAGGTCAAGGGTCACATGTTTTCTTCTTCTCCGTTTGCTTTGTCTCCTCGCTCCTCCTCCTTTTCCTTCGTCTCCTCTTCTTCCCTCGTTTCCTGTTTCGCCTCTTCCGTCGCTTCCTCGTTCTAGAAAAGTGCCAGAGGAGTGCGAGGAGCAGGAGGACGAGGAGCAGGAGAAGGTGTAAGAGTCACTTCCCCTACCTCCTCATCCTCCCCTATGTTCCCCATCTTCCTGATCCTTGAAAGTCCCATCATCCTCCGTACGCTCCTTACGTGAATGATCTACGGGTGTACTCTTAACGTGAGGGTGTACCACATAGACCCCCTTCGTGGAGGAATCGCCCATCGACTCTCCTCTCCCCCCTTTCCCCCCTTCCCTCCCCTCTCCTCCCCTGTTCCCCTGCCCACCTCCACCCTTTCTCCTGCCCCATGCGTTCCTCCCCCCTTCTCTCTTCCCCTCCCCCCCTTCTCGCAGACCCAGACTTGCGGCGCGCCTGGTCATTCGTTGAACAGCCGACGCCCCGACTGCGGTGAGAAATCCTAGGGACTACGAGGTTGTGGCCGTGGGGGCAGAGGACGAGGACGGCGGGGAGGGCACAGGGAAAAAGGGAAGAGAGGAAATGGGAACGGATTGGCCTAACATGTTTTTTGTCCTGATGACCTTGGAACGCTGCGAAGATTTGTGAGAGGGCTCGCAAGGATTGAGAAAACGCGTGCTCGTCTTGCACGAAGGAAACCTCCACACGCAACACGATAAATGATCGGGACATCCATCTCCACCACCTCGGCCCAGCGGAGACGTTGCCTGACCCCACCGCGACGTTCCAGCAGATAGGTCATGGTTGGGTTACGTAGGCTGAAAGCACTCAGTGGTGGTGTCGGGCCCCATGAATCGATAGTACCTGCTGCTGCGGAAACCTCTCCCATGGGGCTCGCGAAGGTGATTGTTGCGAGCAGGACGGGGCTTGTTGGCAGCATGGGGCCTCCGAACTCTTTTAAAGTGGCCTTCGCAATGTGGCCACAGCTGAGGACCTCCCTCCTATCTCTCCCCCCCCCTCCCCCCTCCCCCCCTCCCCTCCCAATGCTCGCACAGCTGCTCACAGGTGGACAAGTTCCGGGTAAAGACCAACAAGGAGCCGATGCGGCAATGCGATTCATTTTTTATTATTGTTTTCGTTCCCAGCTTTCAATCCTCCCTGTTCCTTATCTGCCTCTGCCTGTCCTTGTCCCTCTCCCTCTCGCTCTTCGTCTTCTCCTGCCCCCCGGCCTCTGCCCCTCTGTGTCTGTCTCTGTTTCCGTCTCCATTTCTCTCTTTCTCTCTCTCCTCCTCTTCGACTTCTCTCTTCATCTTCTCCTTCTCTCTCTAAGTGTCCCTTCGCGCCGTCAAGCTCCTCCTCATCCCTCTCTGTGCCTTTGCCTTTTTTCTTTCTTTACAATGTTACGCACTGTGGAAAGAGCGCGTTCTGCGGGCGCTTGGAGGGGGGGGGGTTGGAACCGGATCCCCCCCCTCCCTGGATTGAAGGTGGGGGGGGTTCGAACCCCCCCCCTTCCCGTGACGGAGGGACGTGGGTTTCAATCCCTCCCGCCCCCCAACTTCTCCTTTCTACCTCTCCTCGGGCCGGCGCTGGGGTCGGCGGCGGCTGGCGGCGGCGGCGGGGAGCGTCGGATGAAGACGACGACTTCCTTTCTCTTGGCCAGCGCCGGCGCTTGCGGCGGCTTGCGACGGCGGCAGGGAACGTCGACGAGGACGACGGCGACAACGATGACGACGACGACGACGCTCCGACACCGTGCCTTGGTTTTGGGTCAGTGTCCTAATGAATGGATGCCTTTTGGGGTCTCGTCGGAGGGCTCTCGGGGGCCTCTGAAGGGTATGTGTGAAGCCTCCTTGGCGCCTCTTAGACGTTTCTTGGGCCTCTCTGAGGTGGTGGTGGTGGTGGAGGTGGCCTGTGGTGGTGTGGTGGGTGGTGGATGGAGGTGGTGGTGGTGGTGGTGGTGGTGGTTTGTGGTGGGTTCTGGTGGTGGTGGTGCTGGCCGTGGTGGTGGTGGTGATGGTTGCGGTAGTGGTGGTGGTGGTGGGTTGTGGTGGGTTGTGGTGGTGGTTTTTGGTGGTGGTGGTGTAGTGGTTGGTGGTGATGGTGGTGGTTGTGGTGGTGGTGGGTTGGGTTGGTTGTGGTGGTGGTGGTGGTGGCGGTGGTAGTGGTGGTGTGATGAGCTGTGGTGGTGGTGGTGGGTTGTGGTGCTGGTGGCGGTGGTGGTGGTGGTTGTGGTGTGGTGGCTTGTGGTTGTGGTGGTGGTGTTGGCGGTGGTGGTGCTGGTGGTGGTGGTGGTGGTGGTGCGTTGTGGAGGTGATGCTGGTGGTTTGTGGTGACGGTGGTGGTGGTGATGGTGGTGTGGTGGTTTGTTTACGTGGTGGTGATGTAGGTTATTCTGGTGGTGAGGTGGTGGTTGTGGCGCTGGTGGTGGTGGTGGTGTGGTAGACTGTGGTGTTGGTGGTAGTGGTGGTGGTGGGTTGTTGTGGGTGTGGTGGTGCTGGGTTGTTGTGGTGGTGGTGGTGGCTGTGGTGGTGGTTGCGTGGTGGTTTGTGGTGGTGGTGGTGATGGTTGTGGTGGTGTGGTGGTGGTAGTGGTGGTAGCGGTGGTGGTGGTGGAGGCGTAGTGGTTTGTGGTGGTGGTGGTGGTGGGCTGTGATGTTGGTGGTGGTGGTGCTGCTGGTGGTGGTGCTGGTGGGGGTGGTGGTGGTGTTTTAGGTGATGGTGGTGGTGGTGGTGGTGGTAGTTTTGGTGGTGGTGGTGGTGTGGTGGTTTGTAATGGTGGTGGTCGTGGTGGTGGTGGTGGGTTGTGGTGGTGGTGGTAGTGGTGGTGGTGATGGTGGTTGTAGTGGTGTGGTGGTTTGTGGTGGTGGTGGTGGTCGTGGTGGTTGTGGTGGGATGTGGTGGGTTGTGGTGGTGGCGGCGTTTTTGGTGGTGGTGGTGGTGGGCTGTGATGTTGGTGGTGGTAATGGTGGTGGTGCTGGTGGTGGTGGTGCTGGTGGTGGTGGTGGTGTGTGGTGGGTGGTGGTGGTGGACTGTGGTGGTGGTGGTGGCTGTGGTGGTGGCGATGGTGGCGGTAGTGGTGTGGTGGTTGGTGAGTGCTGAGCCGTGCACACTTGGAACCTTTACACCTCCACGGTGAAGTAGCTCAAGTCCAAGACAACCGCGGCCCACGCAATTCCAGAATTAGTACCGTGTAGGCGACACCAGTGTGCAGGGACCCAGAAAACCAACACCTGCTCATTGTGTTGGTACAGGATGATGACAGGCATCCTGACTCTTCTCTGGCGTTCAAACGATGACAGCAACCAACCCGTCATCGGCGCTCAAGCGACCACACCGTTCGGTGGTTCAGCCACGGAGCATGCGCACAAGGAAGCGGGTGGCACCAGGCTTGCGCCAGTTGCGCCTGCCTTACTTGAGCACATAACGCTTGAGCCGAAAATTGCTACGGCCGCGCGCTGCTCCTCCTCTTCCGTCCTCCTGTCTGTCCTCATCTCCCGCCCCTTCCCTCCCCCTCCCCGTCGCTCTCACCTCCGTCACCCTCCTCCCCCTCCACCTTTCCCCTCCTTTCTGGGCCCCGCCGCCCCTTCCCTCCGTCCTCCTCCTCCTCCCCCCCTCCCTCCCGCTCCGCCAGCCAAGAGCCCGTGGGCGCGCCAGCCCCGCGGGGCGGCCGCCCCCTCCGCCGGCGGCGGGGCGGCGGCCATGTTCGCGGGGCTGATGGGCAGCGCGCCCCGCGCTCGGGGCGCGGGGCGAGGCAGGCGGGAGCAGGCGCGGCCCGCCCCCCGTGTGGAGGGTGCGGAGGAGGGGGAGGGCGGGGGGGGGGCGGGGGGGAGGGGAGGGGGGGTCGGTAGCACTCCTCTGGAACCACCGAGGTTCTCTCACAAGGAGTGGGAACCGAAACACACACACACAAACCATGAAACATACTGGAATCACAGAGATTCGTTCGTAGTTTAGGTTGACTCAGGGGCCCCTCGGTATTTGATCAATAACAGCGTCGGTGCGAGCTCACGTGTGTCAGCAAAGGTACATCAAATCATCCACACATCACACGCTGCACTGCGCTACTGCAACACAAACCATGATACATAAACTACATCGGCACGGGTCCTGTACCATCGGCACAGGAAATAAAAAGGAAAGCCTTTTGGCCCTTCTCCCAAACGAGTCTGAGCGTGCTCGCAACCTCGCCATCATCTCTCACCGGGGGTCATCTTCCATCCTCAACCTCTTCTGCTGCTCAAGCTCAGTGCCGCCGTCTGTGTGAACTCCCTCAGGAACTGAAGCCTCGGCGTAGTCAAATCACGCCTGTACGTACACTGGCTCTGGGTGCTGGCCGTCCGCCTGGAGGGGGCGGCGGAGGAACAGAGGGGGGGCCAGCAGGAGTTACGATGAGGGGTGGAAGGAGGGAGGCGCGACGGGCGAAAAGGAGAGGGGAGGGGAGCGCGCGAGGCAGGGACGGGCGCGGCGATGGCAGGGGGACAGGAGCAAAGGGATGGAGAGGAGAAGGGAAGGGGATAAGGGATAGCAGGGGGGTCGGGTGGAGGGAGGGCCACGAGGTGGAAAAGGATGGCAGGGGTGGGGGAGGGTCACGCGTAGGTTGCGGCGCAAACTCTACGAGCCGGAGACCGCGCGCGTTCGTGGATTTGTTGGGCGTCGTGTTTGTGGTCGCGGCGGTGGAGCGGTCGAGGCGCGTGGTCCTCAATCGTTGGCCAGGGCGCGCGCGCCGCCTTTCGCTTTGCGTTGGGCCTTTCGGTCCTCACTTTCGGCGCGCTGCAGCTCGCGCCTTATGGATCTGGCGTTCATCGCCGTACTTGGTTCGGTTTTTCGGTCGTCGCCAGTGGTGCGTGAGGACAGATGCATCCGAGGGGTTGTTCTTGCTTCTGTCAGAAAAGCAAATCTAAAGATGAACTGCTTTCCGATCTGGAGACACCTAAGTTTTCTATTTTTTTTCTCGGAATTCTGATCTTTTCGCGCGCGGGCGCAGGGTGGGGTGGCGGGGTGGCGCAGGGCGGTAGGGAGGCAGGGCGGTAGCGCAGGGCAGTAGGACAGGGTAGGGCGGTGGCGCAGGGCGGTAGGGCAGTAAGGCGGGTTAGATAAAGGTTGAAAAGCGGCGGGGTGTGAGGGTGGGTCTCGACGCTAGCAGTGTCTGGCGGGGGGCCCCCCGCAGGGTCCGCCCCCCGCGCCACCGGGTCTCCTTTCCCGTCTTCTCGGCGACCCACTCCCATCGCAGAAAGAGGGAAATCAAGGTCTTAGGAACGGCCGGGGCCCTGCGCACAGGGCCCTCGTTCCGCCACCCACCAACGAGGCACCACCGTCGCACCCAGCCCCTCTTTCACCGCCGCCGCACCCAGCCCCTCGCACCGCTATTCGGGTCACTCGAGGATGCTCTCCCGTGTGCCAACACGAAAGTGTATCCTCACTCTCACTCTCCCTTTCTCTCTCTCTCTCTGTCAGTCGTTTGGCCGATTCTGACCAACGCACCTCCTGGGGACCTTGCGCATAGGAGCCCCGACCCTGGCACCCCCAAATGATGCATCGACGTCACCCCCAGCTTTTGCTTGCCGCCTTTGGGGGAAACCCTATTCTTATTGTCGCTGCCATCGTAATCATCACTATCATCGTCGTCATCCTCATTGCCATCGCCAACGTTGTCGTCATCATCGCCCCCGTCGTGATCATCCTCACCGCTTGTGTCGTCCTTTTTCGTCATTATCGCCACTGTCCGCACCAGTCTCATCGTCGTCGTTGTCGCCGATGTCGCCGGGTTCATCATCACTCGCCCCCCGCGTCATGGATCGGCATGAGCAGGATCTCGCGTCATGCGGTTTTGCATATCATAGATCGCCCTCGTGTGGCACACTGAGAGTGCAACGCGTCAGTGTTTGTGTTCCATGATGGCAAACACTGTTTCAGAACTTGTGCACCTCACAGGTAGAAGAGTAGGTTGTTCCTGTTTTACTGTGTGTTTACAGTAGGTTTCGCGTACGGATTTGCGCAGTGCTCCAGAGCTTTTTCCACATGCGATGTTGGTGTTTGGAGTGGGTGGTGCGTTGGCGAGCATGTTTAGAACTCGCGTGAACCAGGGGCCGCAGGGCTTTTCCCGCTTGAGTGTTCCCGTGGCACGCCCCCGCCGCCGTTTCTCCCACATGTTCCCGCGACCAGCCGATTCGGCTCAGTTGGGTTCGAGTTTTCCTCCCGCATAGCCTCGCGCCCTCCAGCTCCTCCTCTTGCATGCCTCCTCTTGCCTCCCCTTTCCTCCTCTCATCCTCCATCTCTACCTCTCTGTATCCCTCTATCTCTGTTTATGGTTGTCCCACGTATCATACAGTCGACCCGCATGGTAAGGATGGGCAACCTTCCCAAGGGTACCCTTGCATCCTTGCCTCGTCGGACCATCCCTGACCACCGCGCCCCACTCGAGAAGCTTCGAAATGGGCGTCCAAGGCCCTTTGCATCCTTATCACGCATCCTCATGATGCGGGCCCGCTGTAGTCTCCTTGTTGTCTCCACCATGTCCAAGGGTTGGTTGCTTGTTTGTTTCATATCATAAGTTTGGGTTCTGATCATTGGTATGATGCCTGTGCTTCCCTTTCTCTCCTTTTTCTCTCGCCTGGTTATATTCAGGCCGCCATGGTTAGACTTACCCACATTCGGACTCGCCAACACTCAGACTCACTCATAGTTATACTCACGGGCACTCAGACCCACTACTATTATGTGTCCCCCCGCACCCACCTCCTTTGACACTCAGGCTCCCTATCGTGCAAGTCCGCGGGTACTCAGTCTCGCCCACATTCAGACTAGGCCATGGACAGACCACCCGACACTCAAACCCATTCATACCCAGCCGAGTCATACCCAGACTCGTACCAGCGCACCGTTCACATTCCTATCCCAGACGCTCCGCGTAACCCCGTCAGCCAGGACGTGCGCCCTGGCTGCCACATCTGCCTCGGCACTCTGGGGGCCTGGGGTGCCACAACCGCGGTCCCCGCTCCCACTCTCGGGTCCTGCGCTTCCGGGATCGGGTGCCCGCATCCCTCGCCTCACTCCTACTCACAAGCTGGGAGACACACGCTGCAGCTCTGGCACGGAGCCCCGCGGGGGGCGCGGCCCACTCCCTGGCGGCTCCCCTTCTGGGCCCCCTCGGCGCCCCCCGCGGGGCCCTCGCTCATCTCACGCCGCTTGCCCCCATACATGCGACCGTTAGTCGCGGCGCCCACCTGCGCCTCCGCCGCCTCGGCCACCCCATACCTGTTTGCGACCGTTGGTTGCCTCTCTGCTTTCCCTCGCTTGCGGCTCTCGCCGCCCCCCTCTGCCTGCTGGTCCCCTCGCCCGCCCTCCCCGCGGCCCCCCTGGGGGCCGCCCTGGCCTCGCGCCCAATGCCGCCAGGCGCGTGCCTCAGCTGCGGCTGTCGGCTCGCGCCTTGCCTCCCAGTGCGCCCTTGTCACTGGTATGGCTTATGGCTCTTCGCCCCCCTGGCGCCAGGCCACCCCCCTTGCCCCTCGCCCAGCGTGGGCTGCTCGGGGCCCCCTCGACGCTCTGCCCCCGCCACCGGCTCCCGGGTCCCAGATGCGTCGGAGGCGTTTCACTGCTGTGGCCTGCTTCCCCACGGCGCCCCCGCCCAGCGGCCCATGCTTTGCACAAAGGCGCCGCCTGGGCTCCACCTCTGCTGCACGGCCGTTGCGGGCCGTCACTTTCATTCGTCCGCCCGCCCTCTGTTGTCCCCTCCGCCTCGGCCTCTCCGCCCCCTGCGGCTCTTGGCCTGCGGCAATCCCTCACCGGCCTGGGGCCGGCTGACCTCTCGGTCGCCCCCCACCGCGCGGGTTGCCTCCCCGACGGTCCCCAAGCGGGATCCAGCATGCTCGCGGCTGCGCGCTTCCATGGCGCGCTCCAGTGTCTTCGGTCGATTGGATCGGTCCCTCCCCAGTGCGCGAGCGCCCGCCCGCACCCCCGCGTCGCGGCACGCGGACTCGACACCAGTCTCGACGGTGCCTCGCGATCTGGACTCTGGTCTTGTTGAGCGATCTGGGCTCTGGTCTTGTGGAGCGTTCTTGGGCGAAAACAGTATTCCAATGGGAGCCGGTTGGCTGCACGCGACGCCCAGAGCGACCGCGGAAACGCTGGTACGACGCCACAGTCAGCTTCAAGGACTAAGGCGCTGAGGCGCCCCCGCCGCGCCCCTCGTGGGCCGTCCCCCCTGTGGGACGACTGTCGGCGCTCTGCTCTGCGCTGCGCGTGAGTTGGTCGACGCATTGCGGCGCGTGTGGCTCGCCCGCTACCGTGTGACGAAGCGACCGTTGGTCTTGGCGCTTGCTCCTTGTCTTCCAGCACGCTCGCGGTGTCGCCCAACCAGAATTCTTCGCCACTTTGGCGTTGCACTCCGCCGGGCGGCTCACCCCTAGTCGACGGCGCCCTCTTCTGAGCGGCAGCGAGGCCCGCCTCCTGTTCGTTCCTCCCTCCGCTGTCTTCTCGTTGCCTCGTCTCCCCCCTCCTGGTGCGCAATTCGCTCGCAGCCCGCTTGCTGCGATTCGTTGACGGCGCCCGGCGTTTCCTGGTGCGCTTGCGATCAAAAGGTCGCCCCATCAGCCCATCCAGAACAGATCCCAGACGTGTGTCCCTGATCAGGGATGTGGAGGAGCATGCGATGGACTCAAAGGCTGGGTAAGACGTCGTACCCCAACAGGGGGAGGATGGAGGAGGCGTCGGAGAAAGATCATGAGGAAGAGGGGGGGGAGGAGGAGAAGTAGGGAGAGGGGGGGAAG